GAGCCAGACAATTTAGGTCTGAGTCCTGACTTAGCTATTTTCATTTCATTTCTAGCAAGCCCCGTAACCACTCCGTATCTCAGTTTTTTCTCTATAAAAGGTGGCTAAGAGTCTTTCTGTGACTTCTTACATCATAGGGCTGTTGTGAGGATCAAATGAAACAGTATGTTAACCAGTTAGAAAGTGGCTGGCATACTGCTAATATCTCAATAAACATTAACTATTATTATTCAAAACCTAGTAAGGAACATGTTTGAATTTCTGTTAGTTGCATCCTCACTGTCTTCTAATTGAATCGAGTAGATTTATTTAAAAGACTTCCCTGGATTCTCCCTCATGAAGCATAAAAGGAGAGTGAAGATGGGCCTGGACATTTAATCACTCCTACTGGGGAATGTATTACTGAGAAACGTATGATCTCATGGAAAGAGGGAACTTAGTTTAGAAAAAGTGAGCTGATGAAAGCCCTGTCAAAAGTTAGCACATGTGTAAATACAGAAGAGCCATTTCGCTTTACAGGCATTAAAATATAATGAAGACTTCAAGTAAAATAACAGTTATTTACATACTATTTCCACTCCGATAGTTAAGATTATTAATGCTTCTAATAGATCAACCCAGAGGCCCAGTTTCTCTTCCCACCTGCTACCTGTTTACGTCTATAGTTGTATAAATGTGAGGAAGGGAGCAACCAGGAGCCAACCACACATCAGTTACCAGCTCGTCCACGGGTCTGAAGTTTATAGGGGAGTCCAAATGCCATGTAACACACTCTTTCTAAGATGACCAATTCCGTTGTGCAACCATTATAAACTCCATTTATAAAATGTTTAATTCCTTGAGAAATTACTTACGTAACTCAGTGTAGGATAAACACTTGTGTTCTCTCAACTATCCACAGTGTGATCTCGGTTATGTAACAACAACAACAACAACAACAATATTCTGACAAATGGTAACAAACCAGTATTTTTAAAAAGGATGATTAATTGTTTTATAACTCCGTACAACGGAATATTATAGCTTTAGCAAGTTAAGCATATAAAATTACAAATTTGTAAACATTCTTTGATAGATTCTGTAAACCACTTTTGGTTCAACAGACTCACCAAAACTTGGAGACTCAGAGTCTCCCACAGCAAACACATACTGAGATACTGAGTGTTAAATACCCACTGAAAATTTTTAGTATATCATCTGAAGTAAATGAAGTAGGGATTTTTAAGAAGATATGAACAGCCCAAGGATAGGGAATCACTCTCTGAGGAATCGTAGTGTTATTAAAACAATCTAGTGCTTGGCCTTAGATCCAGATATTGCCACTATTAGTTTTATGGCCATGGGGAAGACACCTGTCCTTTCTCAGCATTATCATCCTTATTTCTTTTCTTTTTTTTTATTAAATTATAGCTGTATACATTAATGCAGACATGGGGTACAGTGTAGTGTTTTCATATACATTTTGAAATACTTTCATCAAGCTGGTTCACATAAATTTCATGTCATTTGCGTAGTCATTGTGTCAAAACATTTACATTCTAGTTCTAGAAAAGTTCACTTGTACCCTTGTTAGACAGAAATATAGGTGATCTTTCTGGTCACCCTCGTCCTTATTTCTATAATAAGTGATGTTTGCCTTTCTCTGTTAATAAACTAAAATTTGTGAAATTGCTCCATATACCTCTGGAAAGTGGGTTAAATTTTGATAACTTTTACTTTTCTCTTCCCAATTTCATTGTCTCCTGCATGTTAATGTAGATCAGACTATTTCACATCGATTTTTATAAAATATGGAGTCCCAAGCACTCTGAGAGACTCTGATTCACTTGAGCTGGGGAGGCTTTTGTGTTCTGAGCAAGCCCAGTTGATTTCGAAGTGGATGGTGTGAGGAGCACACACCAAGCAGCCAGTTTTGCCTTTGTCCAGTAGCTGCTTTTTTGTCTTGCATTTACAACCTTCCCTGCCATCCTCCACTTTCAATGACCAAAGGACAAGGTATGTGAAGTTAATGTCTCATTACAGTGAGTTCTCTGAGGCTTCTTTGCTTTTTCCGGGTCACGAATGATTGAAGAATGATTGCCAATTTTTCTAACTCTTTTGTTTGCCCTAATGACACTTATTTAAATCATGCTGCAACTCGGCCATTTCTGCCAACTATGTAAAATTGCTTTAGAATAGCCAATCAAGGGCAAGTGGTAATGTATAAATCAGTGTAAAACATCTTGTAATAGTAGAAGGCACTCAAGACAGAACACATTTCCAATCTTCCTGTGGTCCACAAAACCTCTGATTTTTTTTATCAATGGACACAGCATCTAGTCTTTTCTACAGGAACCCACAACTTCTTGGAGCTTCACGCTAAACAGTGACAACTGGGGTCATTTATATTTCAGTGTGAGTGAGTCTACAGAGTGGTGGCTGAGGAAGCCCCTCCATTGCCACACGGTAGCAACTATAGAAGGCGGTGTAATACACAGGTCTACAAAGAAAATTCAGGTAAGCAGAATTGTTTTGAACAGCTAGTTTTCCTTTTCCTCAGCCTCTCATGTAGTTAGGATCCTTACTCTAAATAATTCGTATTTGTTAATTCATTCCCCTCCTCCTGCAAATGCTTGGAAGGAGCACTCACCAGAGTCTCAATATTAAGAAATAATTCCTCAAAACTTTTACGTCTCTAGAGCTGGAAAATACTTCAGAAATTGTTAAAGCCAGTGTGCATCGTTTTTGAACTTGTGAGATGTCCGCATGCTTTCCTTGAACTGCACATTATCAGTATACCTGTACCTTTTCCTGACATGCTCCAGCTCCCTGTAGTGACACTGCTGAGTAGCAAAAAGAATCAGCACTCTCCTGGCCTTCAATTTGTGCTTCTAAAGTGTTACTTGTTTATTTGAGTCATGTGCCATGGAGGGAGGCTGGCGGCAATGTGCTACAAGGTGGCAGAGTCTGTGGCAAGGACAGTGGGAAGTGGGGACAGTGCTGTGTATAACCTTTTCTTTATCTCCTTTTTATGCATCACCTTCCTGTTACATCTCTAAGTTTATGTGCTCAAAAATATCTCCTGCTGGGCATTTTCCTTTGGATATGAAACCTTCTCTGAATAGTCACATTTTTTCCCTCAGAAATTTGACTCTGCCTGGAGCAAAGAGAGTTGATATTTAGTTTTCAAGGAAAAGTGTTCCAAGGACCCCATTTCTAGTCCTGACTGATTCTTTTCTTCATTGGACAAAAGCTCATTCATGTTTACACTATGCCATGAGTTGTGCTTGATGCTTGAGCCACAAGGAAGAATGAGATACAGTACTACTTTCAAGATGATTACTCTCCTCCAGGGAGACGCGCTGTGAAAGGCCTGCAGAGTGGCAGAGTTCTGTGCCCACCAGCCTAGACAGTGATGGACACACACTGGCAACTATTGTGCTTCCTTTTGTACTGATCCTAGATATGTGTGTGTGTGACAAAGAGATATCACATCATATCATATCATATCAATCATATCATAGGTGCTGAATTTTCCAGGATAACTATAATTAAAGAATATAATGATGGCTCCCTTGTAAGGCATCAAAATGGCTTAGAAATTCTTGTAATTTCTGGTTTTTTAAAAAATGTGGCTACTCTTATAGGATGCCTTTAAGCATCATATGAGAGATCAGGTATACATAATGTAAAAATATATAGTAATTATACATACATATGTATATACCATATATATGGTTATATGTCCATGTGTTTAAGGCTGGAAAAAGTTTAAAAGTTCAGGGTGGCACCTGTGGCTCAAAGGAGTAGGGCACCAGCCCCATATACCGGAGGTGGTAGCTTCAAATCCAGCTCTGGCAAAAAACAAAACAAGACAAAAAAAAAACACTTCAAAAAAATTTTTTTAAAGTTCATATGTATATCTGTTCATATGTATATCTCATTTACATATTACTTTTTTTTTCCAGAAACACTTTTAGGGGGGTATACAAATGTGTACACATATACAAATATCCATTTACTTATCCATTTTTGTATTATTAATTTTGGACTATATCATATATTTTCTTGACTTCATAACAGGGAGATTTTTCTATGCTATGAAACACTTTTCTAAGACAATTTTCTTTATTTTGTTTTATTTTGAGACAGAGTCTCACAAGACATAATTTTAATGGCTGCTTGGTAATCTATTATTCGGGTTACTTTAACCATTTCTCCATAAGGGATTTTGTATTATATCTAAATATGCAGTCATCATACTACAGTAAACTTCCCTGGGTTTATATCTTCATACATGTGCATTATTATTTCCTTGGAAAGAGTTTCTAGATATTCAATTATTGAATTTAAAAAGGTTGTTCTTTTTTTTTTTTTTTGAGATAGAGTTTCAAGATGTCACCCTCGGTAGAGTGCTGTGGCATCACAGCTCACAGCAACCTCCAACTCTTGGGCTTAAGCAAGTCTCTTGCCTCAGCCTCCCAAGTAGCTGGGACCACGGGTGCCCGCCACAATGCCCAGCTGTTTGTTGTTGTTGTCACTGTTGTTTGGCAGGCCTGTGCTGGATTTGAACCCACCAGCTCTGGTGTATGTAGCTGGCGCCCTTAGCCACTGAGCTACAGGGACCAAGACAGTTGTTCTATTTTTGAGGTTGTTATGATACAATCCCAGTTTCTAGATTTTGCTAATTTATACACGGATAGTATCACTACTAATTAAATTTCTTTCTTTCTTTCTTTTTTTTTTTTTTTGGTTATTTGTTTGTTTGTCAGGAAAAAAGGCCCACAATACAGGCCACCATTCACGATAGCTGGAAATACTACCAATATCATGGCAATGTTAGAGCAAGTGTTGCAATGTCTGGGACTCTGAGGATCTAAAGTCTACTAATGTGTGATACCCTAGGCAAATTCTCCTTCCTCCTCTTTCGACAGCTGTCTTATCTCTCCAGGGTGTTTTGTTTTTGTGTTTGTTTCTTCAGATCATCTTTCTGAAGGAAAGAGGCAGAAAAGCTACATAAGATGTTTGTGCTTCATGAACCCCAGAAGCTGCAGATTCTGTATGAATCCTTGGAAAAGAACATCCCTGAATCCCTTAAGGTAAAGAAGTAGGAGAGGTCTGAGAAAAGAGGATTGAGGTGAAAGGATGATAGATTTGGGGCTCAAAATCTTCCAGAACAGATGGAAATATAAGTCCTCAAGTCAGAACCTGTCGGCAGGGATGATGTTAACATTTAAATCCAGTCAATCACCTGCTTTTGATTCTCTTGTGACCTCGTGCCCTTTGAATCCCTCTTACAGCTCTTGCAACTGGATTTCCTTATCCCTTCCATGTACCTGCAATATCTCTCTGTCTCTAATTTACCAGCCCATCAGCAACTTGAAGATGAGAGCCATCTGTCTGACACAAATAGAAATATATTGCTTATTTTAAAATTTGCAATAGCAGTTCATCTTCAAGGTACCCTTTAATCAGGTTATAGGGTTTATCTCAAAATGCCCAGACATTTTTTAGACTTTTTTCTTCCATTTGCCCAAACTTCTGCTGCATATCACATGCTATCACCATTGAAAAACCCTCACCATTCAGGAGGTATGATTTACTCTGCCACACCCTCAAGCATTTTACCTATGCCTTTTCTCCTACCTGAAATAACATTCCTTATTTTGCTAGGAAAAGATTTTACTTATACACTAAGACCCAACTCAAATATTACTTCTTATATAAATGTCCCTACCACTTTCTAGACTGGGCGTCCATTTCCCCCTGGGGACTCCACACCAACATGCACACACATCTCTCAGAACATCCTTTTAAGATTGAATGCTATATCTCTCTATCATTCAAAATTTAATTCACAGGCAGTGAATGCATCATATTCATCTTTGAATTTCCCATACTTCACACAGATCTGATATATCATGAATGCCAAATAAATGCATTTTTGCATTTATTTGCATAAATTTTGCAAATTATGCATTTATTTATTAATGCATTATTACTCATTTATTTGCATATTTTAAAAAATGGTATGAATTAAAAAAGAAAATGAATGAACTTCATGGGAGCCAGTTCCTAAAGACTCAGCTGTTAAGTTGGGTTTTTGCAAATCCTTACTGGACCTTCTTATAGCATACCTTTCAATGAGCAATCCAGTGATTCATACTGGAAGCACTGGCTCCATCCTTTCAAATCATCCTAAAACTCTTGATTTATTTCCCACCCTACATCAAAGACCCTATCTATCTCCAAGATTTAATCTCCTGTTTTTTTTCTGTTGCTCTTCAGGTATATGGCACCATTTTCAACATTAGAAATAAAAACCCATTCAAACTGGAGGTGCTGGTAGATGCCTGGCCAGATTATCAGGTGGTTATTACTCGGCCTCAGAAAGAGGTAGGAGCATCAGTTACTGAATATCAGGGCAGTTACTCCTAGGTCACTCTCTTTGTGGCAATGAGGGATTAGAAGCTGAGGGATGGGGATAACCCTGGAGTCCTTGAGACATACAGGCTCTGTAAGGGCTGCTAGGGGGCTTGTTTGGGAGGAAGAGCAGGAGGTGAGTTAAGGCTTGAAGGTAGAGCCAATGCCAATAATCCAGAATTTGTAAGTAACACTAGGATCCCATCCAGACAATCTTTTCCATCAATGTTCTGATTAGAAGTATACATAGGCATCTATGGCTAGAAATGGTGAAGATGTATTTTCTCTGGCAAGGACTACCAAGGGGAAATGTCAACAGCAGAGTGTAAGCGAGCAGTTGGAGGCAGAAATGGCCCTCTGTTCAGGTATTACTCTGGCTCTGGTGTGATCTCTGGTATGATGGTTCTTTCCAAAAGTCCATTCTATTTCCACACCAACCAAGAGCCAACTATCAGCCAGCCTCAGAGTACTGGGGTCAGAATTAGCTCAGGTGTTCCTCATCCAAGACCCAGAGCCTTGCCAACCCCACTCTCTCTACTTTTTTCCATATTTAGACACTCTCTTTTAAATCCTTAATATATACCATTTCTGGTACACTTCCCATTCCAGACAATGGAGCTACTTACCCTCCCAGGGGCAGCTGACCTTAGCTTAACTCAAACATTCCTTTCCATTGACTCTTGGTATTTTAGGCAAAGCCTAACTCTTTTAGCCAAGTGTCAACTACAGAATTTTTAAACCTACCTACATCTATAAGCTCCCACTTTGAGAAGTCCCACCTTTTCAGGCCAAGCCAATGTATGCTTTTCAGGTATTGATTTATGACTTTATAGTTCCTGTCTCCCTGAAATGTATAAAACCTAACTCAACCACTGTGAGTCTACTTGCTCAAGGCTTCTTGGGTGTAATCCAGGCCATGGTCATCAAATTTGGCTCAGAATAAACCTCTTGAAATTAAAAAAAAAAAATGGAAAGCCACAACCTTTAGTCTATCAATAGTGAAATATTCTTCAAGGGGTTCTAAGGTCATACTCTACATCTCTCTCAGAAAAACAGAGTGTATGTATCAAACAATAAAATCTCTAACACTTTAGACCTGTGCAAGAACTTTTTAAAATAAATTACAGTGCTATATAAATAAGATTGATATTTGTTATGACAGGAGATGAAGGATGACTTGGATCACTACACCAACACTTACCACATCTTCACTAAAGCTCCTGAAAAGTTGGAGGAAGTCCTGGCATGCCCCCAAATTATCAATTGGGAACAAACCTTCCAGATCCAAGGTAACTAGTGTAAGTTGAAAGGTCTATCTGTAGCAGATATGAGAGAGATAAAGCAATATTTGTCTTTCTGTTCTCTTCAGGTTGCCAGGAAATCTTGGACCAAGCAGTAAGAAAGGTTGCAGCTTCAAAATTTGTGCAGGTGGATTACTTAAAGACCCATCTTTTTATGTTAGAAACACCAGTGAAATGCAACACTTCAAGGGATGGAGAGATGGAATTGATGGAGGTGTTTAAAATGCAAAATGTGGATGAAGATAACAAGTGAGATTTTTACCTTCTACTTCCAAATTGTTCATAGAATTATTGAGTTGTCAAAAAGGATGTACTTAGAAATAGAGAATTTGAGACTAAATTATGATGAGATGAAGAATTATGATGAGTAAAGGAAGGGAGGTATTTTAACAAATATTTGCTGCACTTGGAAAAAGCAACCATTTAGATGAGGGCTTTTGCATATATTATTTTACTTAGATCTCATAAAAGTCCTTTTGAAAAGGCAACGAGCATAATGTTGCATTGAAGAATTTTTTTTTTTTTTAAGAGACAGAGTTTCACTTTATTGCCCTTGGTAGAGTGCCATGGCATCACAGCAACCTCCAACTCCTGGGCTTAGGTGATTCTCTCACCTCAACCTCCCAAGTAGCTGGTACTACAGGCACCCACCACAATGCCCAGCTATTCTTTTGTTGCAGTTTGGCCAAGGCAAGGTTCAAACCCGCCACCCTTGGTATATGGGGCTGGCACCCTGCCCATTGAGCCACAGGCACCGCTCGCATTGGAGAATGTTTATTGAAACTATGTTTTACAAAAATACTACATCATATAGAAAGGATATCAGTATATAAAGTAAAAAATAAGTCTTTCCATTTGAGTTCCCTACAATCTTCCTTCCAGGTGTAAATATTCATAACACTGATATATATGCTTTTAGTAGTCTGTGTATGTGAGATTTTTTCTTCATTTTTATTACAACATATGCACATATTTTTCTGCAACTTATGTAATGAATATCTTCATAAATATATCATTGTACAGTGGTATTTCTGAAAGATTCTTATAATTAAAATTGTCAGAGAATTTGCATTTTAAGTGAAACATTTTGCCAAATTGGATGGTGAAAACTTCACAAATTTAATATGTGATGCCATATTAAATTAAATTACATTTAGGTTTATATGTTATGAAGCAACCTAACCATCTGTTAAGAAAGGGAAGTGTTCATTTTTTATGATACATCCAAACATTGGAATACTATGTGGCCATTAAAAAATGAAGCAGCTCTACAGAACTGATTAGGGAAAAATTCCAAAATATATGCTAAAAAAAAAAAAAATGGATAGGCTTGATGCCTGTAGCTCACTGGCTAGGGCACTAGCCACATACACCAGAGCTGGCAGGTTTGAACCCAGCCTGGGCCTGCCAAACAACAATGACAACTATGACCAAAAAAACAACCAGTCATTGTGGTGGGCATCTGTAGTCCCAGATACTTGGGAGGCTGAGGCAAGTGAATTGCTTAAGCCCAAGAGTTGGAGGTTGCTGTGAGCCCTGATGCCATGACACTCTACCCAGGGTGACATCTTGAGACTTTGTCTTAAAAAAGGAAAAACAAATAAATAAAAATAAGTAGAATAAAATTTAAGAAATGGAAAGAACAATATATCTGTTATGCATATATATATATGAATGTATGTACTCATATAATAGTGCATAGAATGCAAAGATGCAGAGGAAAATTACACAAAATATACTGGCATTAGTATGTGCCTCTAGAGAAGACACATGGAAAATAGGAGATCAAAGAAAGAAGAGAGACCTACTTCCCATTAATAATATGTACATCTTAAAAATTATATTTCTAATACAAAAAGGAAATAAAATCTAAACACACATACATACAAATGATTTAGCCAAGAGAGTCAACAATATTCAAATCCAGCTTTGGCCTAGGGGTGTCCCCAGGAGAATTTTAAGAGGAACATATACACAGGGGAAAATGGTAAGTAAGGATTAAATACTACTTAAAAATATAAGTCCAGAGATATTAATACATGCCCTAAGGTGGTTCTGTCTTCCAAGCTCGAGTGCCTATCTTGATATCATGGCATTCTAGCTTTGGCTATCCAGGGGCAGGGGAAGTGAGGATGCTTGGGACTTTTGAGGAAATGCGCTCAGAATTACCTCTGGCATGATAAAGAACAACAGCAAAGCCCCAACCACATGTAGAAAATTTGGTGCTGGTGATCTGCCTACTGGCAAACAAGGAGTGACTCTGAAACTGACAGATTTTCTAAAAGCTCTTCTTAGCAGAGGGTATGACTTCTTTGAGATCCCCCCCATACCTACAGAGCATGTTATTATTGTGATTTTACAGATGAAAAAACTGAGTCTCAGTTAACTTGTCTAATAAGAGAATCTGGATGTATTGTAAAGCATGTAGCGTCCCTTATCCTTTAATTATTTGGGAACATTTTGAAGCAGACATAGAAATAGTAGTTTGTTTTTCTTTAGGGGGGGTGTAAATCATTCTTTTTTTAAATTAAATTATACCTGTGTACATTAATGCACTTATGGGGTACGATGTGCTGGTTTTATATACAATTTGAAATACTTTCATGTTTTTTATGCATCTGTTTTCTCCTGTAGGCTGTAGGATCTTCAAGGAAAGGGAAGGTATTAGATTTATTTTCTGCAGTTCTAGTATTTGGTAACATTAGCTGAATAAATACATACATTTTTTCTTGACAGGAAAAAAGACTTCCGTAGCATTTTTTTGGATGCCTCATACGCAGGTCTTTTAAATGAACAATGGGAGTATGGAAGAAATGAAAGGAGCTTGAAATACATCGAACGTTGTCTCCAGAATTTCCCAGCAGTTGGTATTCTGGGTCCAGACGGGCAGCCCATCTCTTGGTTAGTGATGGAACACTCCTGTGAGTTGAGAATGGCTTACACTGTCCCCAAGTACCGACGCCAAGGCAAAATGTGGCAAACGGGTGAACACCTTATAAAGTATCTTTCTGAAAAGAAAATTCCATTTTATGTACATGTAGCAGATTATAAAGAGAAAGTCCAACAGTCAGTGAAAAATTTTGGGTTTAAGGTTTGTCCTTGTGGCTGGCATCAGTGGAAATGCACTCCCAAGAAATATTGTTGACTGGTACTGCCGCCCATTACAAACCTTCTTTTCTTAGTGGAAAAACATTAATACAAATACAAACATGGTGATCTACATTAGTACAAAAGCATTCAATGACCTGGGATTTGTGTATTCCTTAAACCCACCCTTCTGTACCATTTTCGTCATCCTCCTCCTCTTCTATATTCATATAGAAAATTAGAATCTCAACCCTTTCCTTTATAACAGTCATCTTAGAATTAGAATCATCCAATGCCAATCATTAGTGCCAAGATACCACTTTAAACATAATAGTCTCTTACTTGAAGAAGACTTCTTTAGTGGAAAAAGTCCTGCCTTTTTATGTTTTTGTGTTTAAAAATAAAAAAGCCTGCTTTACAAAATGTCTCCTCTCATATTCTTCCCTTCCCTCTACAAAGTTTTCCAAGGTATTTATCAGAAGCTCTCAGCATCACTGCTTTTGATTCATTGTGCCCTTCCAGGAGGTCTGAAATCCTATACTAAATTAAATTATGTGATCATCAGTAGAAGTTTGGTTTTCTGATTAGCTTTTATCACAAGGGGGTGCTGGGTTGAGTTGTGTGGCTGAACTTCCAGTTTTCAGTATGATTTTTATATCTATGATGTATTAGTTTCCTATTGCTGTTATAACAAATTACTACAAATTTAGTGACTTAAAGCAATGTAGTTTATGGCAGTCAGAAGTGAAAAATGGATCTTATGGGGCTAAAACCAAGGTGTCAGCAGGGCCACTCATTCTAGAGAGTCTAAGGCTGAATCAGTATCTTTGTCTTTAAAAGCTCCTCGAGGCTGTCTTCACTCTTTGGCCAGTGGTTCTGCAAGACACCTTTTCTCCCTCTGTTTCTATCAACATCACATCACCTTCTTCTGTTCTGTAATCAAATCTCCCCATGCTTCCCTCTTACAAGGACACAAGATTATTCTTAGAGCCTCCTGGGGGATAATTCAGGATAATATCCCCATTTCAAGATCCTTAGTCACATTTATAAAGTCCCTTTTGACATATAATATTCAAAGCTTTTAGGGATTAGGACATATATCTTTAGGGAGACAGTATTCAGCCTATCATGTATGAGTATCACATGTATGTTTCTGCATGAGCAAAGTTACCTTATACTTTTGGAATCTACATGTTTTCAGTCCAGGACCAACCAGAACATCTATATTCCAGTTCCACATTCATGGAAGAGAGAACTTAGTCTAGCTGGAGACTTTGTCTATCTCAAATCCTATCAACTATGAATTAAGGGGAAGGACAATTTATAAAAATTGGTACTCATAGAATGTCCATGTAAGGGATTTGGAGTAGAAGGAACTACAGATACTATGTAGTTTAATTTAGGTAAAATAGAACCAACATCTTCATCTTCAAACTGTCCTTTGTGCTTGAAGATATGCATGCAGGCTGGTAGGAGATGACACAGTCAACCCATATTGACAGCCCTGTGACTCCACAGTCATTCTCTGAACAGAGAGGGGGCTCCCAGACCCCAGACCCTGCCTGTACATTGAAGTAACACTGTAGGAAAGGTGTTACTACAGAAAACCTTTCCCATTCTTCCTGCCCTAATTTGTATTTCAGGACTTGGTCTTTGTGATCAAACTCTGAGGCAGCCATAACACTTCTTGGCTGTATAGCTTAAAGTAGAAAGTTGTGATTCAAGATAGTATTAAAGGCTCAGATGTGGTGGCCCATGCTTGTAATTCTAGCACTCTGGGAGGCTGGGGCAGGTGGATTGAGCTCAGGAGTGCAAGACTAGCCAGAGCAGGAGTGAGACCTCTTCTCTAAAATTATCCAGGCATTGTGGTTGGTGACTGTAGTCCCAGTGACTTGGAAGGCTAAGACAAAAGGATCACTTGAGCTCAGGAGTTTGAGGTTGCTGTGAACTATGAGGCCATGGCACTCTACTGAGGGTGACAAAGGGAGACTCTGTCTCCAAAAAAGAAAAAGAAAGGAAAAAGAAAAAATAGACAGTATTGAAGGAATCACAGAGACTCAAAGAATGAAGGAGAAATAGCCATATAGCAATAACAGCACTTAATTAGCTCCATGAACCATTCTATGTACTTCACACATTTTAGGTAATTTAGTACTCTCAACCATCCTGAGAAGTAATTAGGCATGTTGGTTACAGGAGAGAAGCTCACACTAAGGAAAATTTACATCCCTAGTCCTAGGCCATCACACTAGTAAGGGGCCAATTCAGGACCCAAACACAATTCAGTTACTATAGCTCCCAAGCTAGTACTGTTAACCTTTGGCATATAACGTGTGGCATGCTAAGGCTTAATGAACATTAACAAATGAGCTAAAATGTGGAATAGTTATAGCACAGCAACATTAGACTGCAGACAACGGCATTCTCTGATTGACTAGAATTTTTCAAGTGATCTGCACCAGAATCCTTCCAACTGATAAAGAAAAACTCTAGGTAGTCTTAGTCTCTTTAGTCAACATAGTTTATCCCTCTTTAATTAATCAATTCCAATTGATTTGAGAAAATTAGCTCTAGAAATTCTTGCACAAGTCTCAGGTACTTACCTCAGTGTTTTAGGATACTTTGCTAGATTATCTTGTTAGCTGGAGGACTTCACTTAAGAGGGTATCAACACCAAATGTTGAACCCAAAGGTAGTCTTCATAGGTATTTCTGCTTCTGTGGGATCCTTCTATAATCCCATGGAAAGCTAAAACCAGAAGATAAGTCAAACTTTGCTCCTCTACGGAATAGAGGATCAGTACAAAGTAGAAATTTGCCTTGTACTGCCTTTCACCTGAGAGAAGGTGAATAGTTGCTCAAAAAACAAATTGTTAATAATTTATTGAAGTTAGTTAGTTTAAATTCAAGTAGCAATGATTAACTTGAGCTGTTCTGATGAAAACAAAAATGTTTTATTTATGCAAGGATAATTTAAAAATATAAAGATATATATCGGCTCAGCACCTATAGTTCAGTGGCTAGGGTGCCAGCCATATGCACTGGGGCTGGCAGGTTCAAACCCATCCTCGGCCTGCCAAACAACAATGAACAACTACAAAAAACATATAGCTGAGCATTTTGGCAGGCACCTGTAGTCCCAGCTACTTGGGAAGCTGAGACAAGAGAATCTCTTAAGCCCATGAGTTTGAGGTTGCTGTGAGCTGTGACTCCACAGCACTCTACCCAGGGCGACATAGTGAGACTCTGTCTTAAAAAAAATATATATATATATACTCACTGAGGTAAGTACCTGAGACTTGTGCAAGAATTTCTAGAGCTAATTTTCTCAAATCAATTGGAATTGATTAATTAAAGAGGGATAAACTATGTTGACTAAAGAGACTAAGACTACCTAGAGTTTTTCTTTATCAATTGGAAGGATTCTGGTGCAGATCACTTGAAAAATTCTAGTCAATCAGAGAGAGAGAGAGAGAGAGATATTTAGAGTTTACTCTCAGGAAAAATGATAGCTGGAAATAGGAAGCTGCCAGGGCTTCAGAGATCATTCCTTCTTCATGCTTATTTTCTCTGAATAGACAGGATTAAACACACACACAGCAGGCACACACACATATGTTTACATATATATGTAATGGCAAAACATATATATAACATAATATTTACCATTTTGACCAATTTTAATTGAAAAAAATATGTACATTGACCTAGAAAGCTTCTGTATAGCAAAGGAAATAATTAATAGAGTGAAGAGCCTACCTACAGAGTGAGAAAAAATATTTACAAATCATACATTCAAAAAGTCATTGATATCTAAAATATATAAGGAACTCAAGTAACTCAACAGAAAGAAAATGAATAACCTGATTTTAAAAATAAGTATAGGAAATAAATAGGCAATTTTTAAATAAAATTTAAAATGAAATGGAATGGAAAAATACTCAACATCACCAGTCATCAGGGAAACACAAATCAAAACTGCAATGAGATACCTCATCAATCCATTTATGATGGCTATTATCAAAAAGACCAAAGCTGGTCATTATCGGCAAGAATGGCATGTAATCAGTGTGTTGAAGAGATATCTGCACTCCCATGTTCATTGCAGTATTATTCACAATAGACAAGGTACGGTATCAAACTAAATAATCACTAGTGGATGAATGAGTAAAGAAAATGTAGTATGCACACACAATGGAATGCTATACAGCCTTTGAAAAAAAGGGAGATTACACGGAGATCACGTGGATGAACCCAGAGGACCTTATGTTAAGCAAAATAAGCCAGGCACAGAAAAACAAATAACTACATGTTATCATTTACCCATGGAATAAAAAAAAAGTTAAACTCCTAGAAATAGAGAGGAGAATTGTGGTTAGAGGCCAGAAGGTGGGGGTAGGGGGTGAAAAAGGGGACATCTTGATCAAAGGATACAAAGTTCCTATTAGACAGAGGGAATAAGTTTTTGACATCCACTGTAAAACCTGGTGACTACGGTTAATAATAATTCATTATGTTCTCTTCACAAAAATATATATGTGAGATGATGGAGATATTAATCAGCTTATTTTAATCATTCCACATTACAGATGTATCTTATAAAATCACATTGTGTCCCATAAATACATAAGATTATAGACTGCCAATAAAAATGTTTAAAATAAAGTACTGTTGGCTAAAATGCCACTCAAGATATGTATTTTGCATGATGCTAAGATTCTGCACACCAGTCCATGGCAAAACCCCTACCTGAGTGCCTCGATGTGAAGAAGTTGAACAGGGAGGGCTGGGAGTGGTCCATGTATCTCAAACCATCCATCCTGACTATAAGTAGAGGGTTGTCTTTCTTATGCATACCTAGAGCCTTAAAGTTGTGAGCCTCCTTTTGTTCCTTGGGAGATATTTTAGGTGTTTTCAGAGCTCTATCACCACTACTATTCAAGGTAGTGCTGGAAGTCATAGCCAGAGCAATCAGACTGAAGAGATCGAACTATTACTCTTTAACAACAATACGATCTTATACCTAGAAAACTCCAAGGACTTGACCAAGAGACTCTTGGCATTAATAAATAAATACAGTAATGTCTCAAGGTAGAAAATCAATGTACATAAATCAGTAGCTTTTATATATGCCAACAACAGTCAAACTAAGAATAAAATGAAACACACAATTCCCTTTGATGGTAGCATCAGAGAAAATGAAATACCTTGGAATATACTTAACAAAGGAGGTGAAGGATTGCTATAGAGAGTACTACATGTTGCTGTTAGGGGGGATGCATGGTGCGTTGTCGCAGAGGTTAAGCCTGCATTGAAATGTTATAGAATAAGGAAGACTGCAAGCTTGCTCAAGCCTGTAGCAGGTTAACTTTATTTCACCAAAGTTTATATAGGCAATACTGCACGTACACATCATTAATCAATCTAAAGACTAAAATTCAAAGACTCAGGCCCTAGCCACTTGGCATCAGGATGTATACTACTTAACAGATAACAACACTTTTTAACTTTATCTAAAGTTGTTTCTTATGCTAAGTAATTAGAAGTAACAAGCCATAAGAACCAGAGCTCTGGGAGATCAAATGGGTCAAACTCTGAGGGTCAGGCAGATGCAAAGTTTGATCTTGACCCTCTGGAGGCAGTCATCCATCTTTAGAGTGTACTCAGGAAATTCCTGAGATATTCAGGTACCTGCCTGCAGGCCTGCCCCCAATACAGCCAAGCCCTTAGTTACTTTACTAAGTGACCAGACCTTCAGCCGTTTAAGGAGTTCTATCCAGGTTTTGTTCCTTCCTAATTCACAAAAGACTTCAAACTTGCCTTCACAAAATGGAACTATTTAAAGGCTTATTTCTAGGCTTTTCACCTAAACTACAAAACACTGAGAAAAGAATTCAGAGGATGTTGACAGATGGAAAAATATATCGTGGTCATGGTTCACCAGAGTAAACACTGTTAAAATTCTTATACTACCCAAAGTGATTTACAGATTCAATACAATCCCCATACAATACCAACATCATATTTTACAGATATTGAAAAAATACTTTCATGTTTCATATGGAATCAGAAAGACCCCAAATGGCAAATGCAATTCTATAAAATAATAGCAAATCTAGAGACATCACTTTGCCATACTTCAGGCTGTATTATAAGGCTATAGTGATCAAAACAGCATGGCGTTGGCAAAAAAGTAGAGACATAGACTTATGGAACAGAACAGAGAATCTAGAGATGAAGAAATCCTCATATTGCCATATGATTTCTGACAAAGCAGATGAAAGTATGCAATGGGAAAAAAATCCCTATTCACTAAATGGTGCCAGGAGAACTGGTTAGCCACATTTAAAAAACTAAAATAGGACTTACACATCTCATCACTCACAAAAATTAACTTTTAATGGATAAAAGACTTAAACTTAAGGCATGAGTTACAAAAACCCTAGAAGAAAGTGTGGGAAAAACTCTTAAATATATCAGCTTAGGGAAAAACTTATGAAGGTAACTTCTATTGCAATTGTAGCAACAACAAAAATAACTAAATGAGACCTGATATATTTTAAAAGTTTCTGCACAGTCAAGAACACAATCAACAAAGCAAACAGACAACTTACAGAACAGGAAAAGATATTTGCATGCTATACATCTGACAAATGGCTAATAACTAGAATCTATAAAGAACTCAAGCATGGATAAATACTTAAATTTAAGGCATGGAATGATAAAAATCCTCAAAGAAAACATGGAAAAAACACTTGAAGATATTGGCCTGGGGAAAGACTTCATGAAGAAGACTTCCATGGCAATTGCAATAACAACAAAAATAAACAAATGAGACTTAATTAAACTGAAAATCTTCTGTACAGCTAAGGAGACAACAATCAAAGCAAATAGACAACCTGGACAATGAGGAAGGATATTTACATATTTCCAATCAGACAAAAGCTTGGTAACTGGGCAGCACCTGTGGTTCAAAGTTACAGGTGCCCGCCACAATGCCCAACTATTTTTAGAGATGGGGGTTTTGCTCTGGATGAGGCTGGTCTCGAACCTGTGAGCTCAGGCAATCCAACCATTTCAGCCTCCCAATTACTAGGATTACAGGCATGAGCCTCCGTGCTTGGCCTTATCAACATTATTTTAATAGACTTTTTAAAGTTAAATAATTTATGAATACAAAGTTCATCTTTTCCTTACTGTTAGGGGAAGTAGGAGACAGTTTCTTAGTTTTATTAATGTCATGAAATCTCATCTTCCTACCTCGTATCATGAAGTGTCTTTTCCTCTCTCTGTATGTCATGAGGTCTCTTACACTAGTGACATAGTGTCTTTCCTCCCTCACTGACCACAATAATTAACATGTGGAAATAAGGAAATCATTGAGAATTGGATAAGTCTGTGGTGCTGCCAGCACTGACAAAGGGCATAACAACTTCACATTAATAAGCAGGACAATCTCATCTCATTTTGATGTTGCCACCTCTAGTCCCTGGCATTTTCCTCAAGAAAATACATTTTTACAAAGAAAAGAGGCATCAGTATTATAGTCAACAATAATTTACTGTATATTTTGAAATTGCTAGGAGAGAAAAATTATAATATTCCCAACACAAAGAAAAGATAAATGTTTGAAATTATACTCTAATCACCCTGATTTGATCATTACACCTGTAGGTATGTATCACACCATCACATACCCCCCAAAATATGTAGAAGTATGATATCACTTAGAAAACCCATCAGTGACACAGAGTACAGGCTGTGTATGTGTGCTGATTTTGTATAGTTGAGTATTAGTCACTATTGGTTTATCTTTCTATCTGTTCCCATTGTCCCCCTCTGCACTCTCTAACTGATGGAGTAGCTTCCACAATCAGACATAAAATTTCATTTTGATGGGATTTCTATGGGGGTGGAAATCAACCTGTCTTCGGGAAGATAATGCTGTCTCACTATCTTGGGGTGGCAGTGAGAAAAAGGCTATCATCAGTTCATCTTTCCCTTAATAGCTGGCACCTCTACTCAATTCATGTATTTATAGGCAATATGTTAATATGCTTATTCAGTAGAAATCAAAACTTACCCATGGAAGAATCACTGCGAATTAGCAACAGAAGAGATAAGGCACACTTTGGCTACTAAATGAAGATGTCATAGGAAAAAAAAGAGGGGAAAGTCATCCCACCTACAAAATGACACCACATCTTGAAAAAACTGGCAAAATTTTCCCCTGGGCAATAATTAATATATGAGACTGGTGTTTTAAGAAAAAAGCAAGGGCATCGTGTCACTGAAGAAAAAGTGTCACTGAGATCTAGGTGTGTGGGAAGTTGAGCATAGCCAGGAGCCACACGTCAGGAAGATCTGACCGTATAAGGTGTACCATCCACACCTTCAGCCACTTGCACAGCTCACCCAACACAGTCCTATATTCAGGGCTGGGGTCACAGAGGCACACAATTCCACTGGTTCCAGGCACAGGGCATGAGGATATGATGCAGGGTGTGACTCATTTTATGTATGAATTTATTGTCTGTGTGGTTATATATGGGGTAGCCAAGATTTTCCAGAAGCTGCACATAGGAATATGTGATATAGGATATGAGACCATGGCCCCGGTACTCTGGCACAGTGCCTGCCATCCGCAGCTCTCCAGTATGATCCATCAGGGCCCAGGACACAGGGGTCCCTTCAGGCCCCAGCAGACAGACAGTGGGGAAGGTCTGGATACAGCGTTCAATAAATCTCTGGCTCCTCTCATTACCACCAAAATTCCAGAATTTATTCACCAAGGCCGCGTGGGTGAGCTCCAGAGATGAAAGTTTGAACATCTCTTGGTTTCTGTTGATAAAGAGGAAAAAGAAACAGCCCATAGTACCACACATACTGCAAATTATTGTATTTGTTTTCCCCCAGATTGCTTTCAGAGGCAAACAGGAACACTGGTAAGCAGGCAAGGGTATCATTGCAGCAGCCAGGCTGCGTAGGTTCATAATCTGACTGCGTGATCTCAGGCATGTAACTTAGTATCTTTCTGCCTCCATTTCTTCTCATATAAAGTGAGGATATTATTAATAGCATTTCTATTAAAAGACAGATATGAATATTATAGTAACTATTGAAATGCTGAGTATCTTAGATAGCATGACACAAACGATAAAGTCTTCATAAAAATTAGCCATTGTTCTTCTTGATATTGTGACTCTCTCCATGTAAGATGAGGCAGGTAATATCACCCCCATTTTACAGATGAGAAAAATAGGTAAACAGAAAATGAGTAAGTGTCCCAAGGTACATGCTATCAGGCTGTGAAACCAATGCTTAAAATAAGAGAATCTTGATGGCACCTGTTGCTCAGTGAGTAGGGCGCCAGCCCCATATACCAAGGGTGGCGGGTTTGAAACCAGCCCCAGCCAAACTGCAACAACAAAAACAAAAAATAGCTGGACATTGTGGTGGGCGCCTGTAGTCCCAGCTACTCGGGAGGCTGAGGCAAGAGAATGCCTAAAGCCAAGAGCTGGAGGTTGCTGTGAGCTATGACACCACGGCACTCTACCAAGGGTGACAAAGTGAGACTCTACCTCCAAGAAACAAAAAAAGAGAGAGAATCTTAGAATGCTGGCCCTTGACCACTATGTTGAAGAAATAGTGATTTATAGTGCACACGACCACCATTACAGAGGACTGAGGTCTGGAGGCTCCTGCTATGGTGTAAAGGGGCTTCAGGAGGCATCCTCCAAAGAGCCCAGGATGTGGAACTTTGACGATCTGGACTCAAGCCCTTGGCCAGGCGTGTGGTGATCAAACACCTTCATCATCAGAGCTGGCCTTCTGCTAAGAAATGGGGAGAATCTCTCCTGCCTTGTCTATCTCATAGGTGGACAAGAGGCTCCTGTGATACTCTAGATGTGGACACGAATTTTGGTTGGAGGTGTTTTACAATGTGGACAAAGGCATAGAAGAGCACAGGGACCATGAGATTGAGCATCTCTGTCTAGATGCTCCTCTGCTCACCATTAGTTTTCAATTTTACTCAATATTAGACCAAAAATGAATGGGGAGAACATAAAGTTAGTTTAAATTATTTTTTGTTGGACAATTTCTGCTCTGGGAACTCACTAAATGCACCTACTGGATGCCAGGCACTATTTTAGCTACTGAGGATTTATAAGTGAACAACACAGGATCCCTGCTCTCATGGGATGGGTAATGTTGTAGGGGAAGATTCAACAACAAGCAAGTGGATAAATCCACAAATAAGCCAATTTTAGAGAATGGTAAGTTCAATAAAGAAAATGAAAGCTGGGTTTTATAATGAAGGACTATAGGAGAAAGTGGTTTTAGATAGAGTGCTCTGAAAAGAACTATCAAAGGAAATGATGCTGGAGAGCATGAATGGCAAACAGGAAAAAAAATATGTGAAGATTAGAGGGAAGAAATTGTCAGGAAGATGGAAAGCATGGCCAGAAGGCCCAGAGGTGTGTGTGAGTGTATGAGAACCAAGCAGAAAGAAGGCCAGAGCTGCTGGTGGAAGTGAGCAGGAGGGATAGGATGAAACTAACAAGGTGACAGGTGCAGGTCTTGTAGGGCCTTCAAGTTCCTTGAAGGAGTTTGGACTTAAATCAAGTTGAGCTGAGAAACATAGGTGCTTATAAGGTGGCTTATAAGCAGAAGAATCATATAATCTATATCACATACTAACAGAGTCACCTGGGAAATGGATTTTATGGAGGCAAGAGTGAATGTGGGGAGAGAATTTGGGAGGCAATTTCAGTAGAAAAAGATAACTTTCTCCAGACTCACATTGTTTTGGGTCTGCCAGATCCAGGACGTAAGTTCTTTGTCTCTGGCAGGAAAGGAACCAGTTTCTTTGCTGACTGAGGCATCATATAGAGAATGCGCTGTGCTCTCTTAACCCTGATGAATTTAGCAGGTGCAAGACTTTGTATCACCTCATCCAGGCTGGACTGTGAACCTATATGAGAGTAAAGAAAGGAATAAGGGCCCATTTAGAAGTACAAGAAGTTGCCCAATAAAAGTATGTAGAATTTAGTGTTGACATCTTGCTCCAGGTTGTGCCACTAACTGAGTATGTTTTCTTAGGCAAAATAGAGATAACCTTAGAAATCCTTACTATATTACTGTGAAATCAAAGGAGAAGGGGTATTCTAAAATAGAAGCCAACCTTGACTGTTCACATACTCCATGCTCAGGAATTGCTTTGATACTTCATTTAAAGCTTACTTTGAACATACCTTTTAGGGTCTTTTCCTATTTAAGTTTTTATATATGAGGAAACAGTGATAATCAAGACACTTGTAGATGTAATGGCAGAGAAAAGGTGCAATTCTGGGTAGTCCGACTACAGAGAACGTGCTCATAACTGCAGCTATTGTTTTCGGGGACTAGGGAGGAGCACAGTAAACTATCACTGTTATCCCAGGAATGGAAGGCCAGGGAAGAAGATCTATTCTCAAGTCCAATAGTCCTAAAAGACTCTGTACGTCTGCAAAGTGTTCCATGAGTCCTCAACTAATAAGACGTTTATTACTCACAGTTCCTTATCAACCTCACAGTTTGCACTATTTGAATTCTGCTCCACTGAAGAGGTAATGGCATCTGATACAAGAAATGAACATCAACCTGGGAATCTGGAGTTTGGTGATGGAAGGAAAGGTTGGAGGGGAATGTGCTCCCAATGAAAAGTGACCCTACAAAGCAGAACTAGGTAGTCCCAGGAGGCAACACACATTCCAGTCCCCTTACTTTGGATCTGCAAATGTTGTTTCCAGTTGATGACGTCTGATGTGTCAAGGCATTCCTGGCAGTTCTTGAGATCTTTAGAATAGATTAGGTAGGTGTTGGTGTAGTGATCAAAGTCATCTGTCATCTCCTGTTTGGTTGGACAACATGTAATAAATCAAATCAAATTGCTTATACCAAGTGACTGCAATATTTGTGTCTCATATTTCATTATACTATGCTATTTTACACACTTAAATATCAATTTTGATGTATTATAATTATTCCTGAATCATGGACATCATGAAAGAGACTCAATTACTCAATTTATGTAAAAAAAAAATCTTGAAGAACCAGATAGTTATATGTTGCATTACAACTTCAAGTTATCCAAATATGTAGTATGCACTTGTTTAAAAAGTATTCTTCTATAATCCTGTAATCTTCAGGACAAATAGAAATGTTATTGTCAAAGACAAGCTCCTGGTACAAAAGTAAATCTTACTCTGCTTCAAAGACTTTCAGAACAAATGTCTCATGAACATGACAATATTTAATTTTCATTCACTCGTGATGAAGCTATACACAATGAAGTCAGGTGTTATCTTTACAACATAAATCACAAGGCACTATTATTAAAAACAGTTTACATTCTCAACAAATTCAAAGGACAAAATGTGTTCAAAACCATCTCCTCCAAGTTAATAAACAATAAAGTGGAATTATTTGAAGATGAAGAAAGATAAAAGAGAACTTTGATCTTTCAGCCAATGTCAATGAGCTAGAGAATTTTACTCAGATATGCACTCATGACTCAGCAATAATACAAGTAATCATCAGTGGTTTTAAGATCAGATTACAAAAGAAAATATGATTTCAGTAATTAATTCAAATGTCTTCACTTTTGTGTTCTGTTCAGTTTTTCAAAAATAAATGTTAATGTGTATATTTGAGGTATACAACGTGATGTTATGGGGTACACTTTGATAGTAAAATGTTTACTATTGTGAAGTAAATTAAATATGCATTGTTTTGTTTTGTGTGACAAGAGCAGCTAAAATCTACTCATGTAGCTGGAATCCTGAATACAGTACAGCTCTGTGATATGTGGTCCTGATCTACCTATATACTCTCTCTCTAAACTTACTTATCCTACACATCTGCTACTTTATACTTCTGACCTACATCTCCCCATTACCCAGTTTTCCTACCCTAGGTAAACATTATTTTATTCTCTATCTCTGTACAGTTGACTATTTTTAAAAAATATTTTATATACATATACTTTTAGTGAGATAATATAAATTTTTCTTTCCGTGTCTGCCTTATTTCAGTTAGAATAATTTTCTCCAGGTTCATCTATGTGGTGGCAAATGGCAGAGTACCCTTTTCAAAAGTTGAATAAAAATATTCCATTGTATACATACATCTTAGTTTTTTGTCCATTTGTCTGTTAAACACTTAGATTGTCTCCCTGCCATCTTTATTGTGAACAATTCTGCAATGAATATGGAGTCCAAATACCTTTACACAATGGTGATTTCATTTCCTTCATATTTATACCCAGAAGAGGGATGTCTGGGTTATATAGTAGTTTTATTTTTTACTTCTTCAGAAACCTCCATACTGTTTTTCATACTGGCTACACTAATCTACATTCCTTCCAACAATGTATTAGGGTTTTCTTTTCTCTACATTCCTGCAACATTTATCTTTTGAGTTTTTGATAACAACTACCTTAATGGGTATGAATTTATATCTCACAGGAGTTTTGATTTGCATTTCCCAATGGGCCAGTTTTGTTTTCTTTGGAGAAATCTCTATCCAGGGCCTTTGTCCATTTTTAAATTGAATTATTTTACTACTATTGAGTTGCTTGAGTTGTTTACAAACCTCAGATGTTAACTAACCCCTTATCAGATATAGTTTGCACATATTTTTCCCAATCCATAGGCTGCTGTTTCATTTTTATTACTGTTTTCTTTGCTGTGCAGAAGCTTTTAAATTTGATATGGTCCCATTTATTTATTTTTGCTTTGTAGCCTAAGCTTTTACTGTGATATCTGAAAAAAAAAAATCATTGCCAAGGTGACTAAGAGCTTTTTCCCTATGTTCTTTCCTGGGAGTTCTACAGTTTCAGGGATTACATTAAAACCTTTTATCCATTCTGAGTTGGTTTTAATAAGCGTCATAAGGTAAAGGTCTGACTTTATTTCTTTGCCTTTCAAAATTTAGTTTTTCTGGTATCATTTATTGAAGAAAGTATCATTTCTCTATTGTGTCCTCTTGGCAATCTTGTCAGGAATTAGCTGACTGCGTACGTCTGGATTTATTTCTGGGATCTATTCTGTTCCACTGGTCTATGTGTTTGCTTTTATCCTGTACTATATTATTTTGAGTACTATAGCTTTGTAATATCATTTAAAATCAGAAACATGATGGCTCCAGCATTATTATTCTTTCTTAGTATTGCTTTGGCTACTCTAAATTTTTTTGGTTTCATATAAATTTTTGAATTATTTTTTCTATTTCTGTGAATACATATATTTGCTTTGAGTAGCATGGATATTTTAACAATACACCTATTTGCATTAACGTTGGCATTGAATATGTAGATTACTTTGGGTAGTGTAGACATTTTAACAATATTAATTCTTATTGTCAATAAACATTAAAATTGTTTTTAAAGTTTTTAATGTTTAAATCTTTTACTTTCTTGATTAAATTTATTCCTAATTATTTAATTTTTTGATGCTATCATAAATTGGACTGTTTTCTTGATTTCTTTTTGGCTAGATTATTTATATATAAAAATTGAAGAAAAACCTGGAGTCTGAGCACATACTGTCTTTTATAAGCTCACTAATTTGGTGAGCTTGACAAATGGTTGTCATTTGAGGTGACAACCTGCCTTTGAGGTGATTGACAGGTTGGGGTTATATAACAGATAACGTAACAGGTTATGTAACAAGTTGGTTATATCACCTAATGTGCATGATGCAATGGTATATTTCAAAACTATTAAGAAATGTGTATAATTGTGATGGATGTGTTACTTAGTTCAATGTAAGCATTTCACATTATATATCGAAGCAGTACCCTGAGCCCCGTAAATGCATCAATGTACAAAGTTATGATTTAGTAAAAAATAATTAAAAAAAAATAGTCTCCCTTTCTACCTATGCAGAGTCCCCAGAATCCTTCATGAAAGCTCCACCCATGCAATGCTGATTAGATAGCAATAACCCGAGGTCAGTCAAAGATCACAGTAACTCCATACCACGTATAGTCCTACTAGAGAACAGTTCTCTTTGCAATTTGGTTCCTAACTACAATTTGGTCCCTAACTACAATTTGGTTTGCCAACTTTGCCCTTAGCCAATCCCTCACCACCTGTTTACCCTCCCCCAGACCTAACATAAGAAAAAGTGCTGTGCCCTTTTCCCAGGCCCCTAAGTATCTTGCTAGCTGCCTAGTGTAGTTTGTAACAATTTTGCTGAGAAATCTAGGCTAGCACAGTGTTTCTGTTGGGTGGAGAGGAAACTGTATGTTTTCTTTAGTCATATATGAATACAAATACAGATAAATTTTGTGCTTTTCATTCTAATTTGTATGCCTTTCATTTATTTTTATTGCTTGATTTCTCTTGCTTGTACTTTTCAGTACTATGTTGAATATACAAGGTAAGAGTGGCCATTCTAGCCTTGTACCAGATCTTGGTGGAAAACTGTCAGTGGTGCCTCATGCCTGTAGTCCTAGCACTTTGGGATGCTGAGGCAGGAGGACTCAATCCATAGGAGGACTGTTTGAATTCAGGAGCTCAAAACCAGCCTGGGTAACACAGTGAGACCCCAATCTCTTCAAAAAGTAAAAATATAACTGGGGGTGGTGGCGTATGCCTGTAGTCTCAGCTACTCAAGAGGCTGAAGCGGAGAATCTCTTGAGACTTTCTTGATTAAAAACTCTCAACAGTTTCACTATAGAATAAATAAACTCTCAACAGTTATTGTATACAATAACTACAGAATAAATTATTCTATAAACTATAGAATAAATAAAGTTTCTCAGCAAGGGCCATTGAATTTAGCTAAATGTACCTTTATTTATAAAATATTCATTACAAAATTTTATAAAATATTTACAAAATATTCTCTGTGTTGGCCACCTCTTTGTAAAATTTTACAGTGAATATTTTATAAATAAAGGCATATTTAACAAAAATTTCCCATTTTCCCTATGCATTGCAACTTCACAGGCAACTTCTGGGACACACTGTGTATTCCCAAATACACACATTATAATTCATTACCCCTAAAATTCTTCATATTTACTTTCATTTATTTTTTCAGTGTTATTTTCTCTGCTTAGATTTTACTCTAGTTCTTGCTACCCTATAAAACCTATTTACCTTCAAAATCCAGTTTTAGTGAAATTTCCACAAGGAGGGTTCTCGACTCCTCACCTCACATGTCCTGATATCTCTAGTTTTAATCATCTCTCTGCCAGTGCTGCTACTATACCTTAAAGCATAATGTTAAACAAAGAGCATGAATATTCTTTAATATAGAAGAATTATTTAACAAAACTGTACATGTCCTTGTATGTTCTTGCATAGTTTCATGCCACGTTGTACGTTACCTGCTTATCTGTGGCTTCCTCGGGCTGAGAGTTCTTGATCACAGAGGCTTGTTGACCATTGCTATGATTAATTTCTGTTTCCTTGCAGTTTACCACATTGCCAGGTGCATGGTAAGCACACAGACATATGAATGTAGAGGCACATCTGGCAACTCACCTGCTTCTGAGGCCGGACAACCACTGTATTAAAATCAGGCCACGTGTCCACCAGGGCCTTCAGATTAAACGGGTTTCCCTGGTTCATGTGGAAGATAGTTCCATAAACCTACAGCATTTCAACAAAGTGAGTGGGTGAGCACATTTCAAAGGGAAGAAAAAATATCTTATGTTTAACCAGGACAACGATTGTTTCTATGAAGTTATGATAAATAACTGGTAGATCATTTGACTTAATCTTCAGGTTCTATTTTATTAATACATGGAAATAAATTGGGGTCAAACCATGAGAACATTCTATAAATAAAATGAATTAGTTAAATATCTAAATAAATAAAATGAATAAATTAAAAATTATCCACTCTCACATTGTACAATTTGTTATATTTTTCCATTTTCTTCCATTTATTTATGTATATACACAATTTTATAAACAGTAAGATTACATAATGTATTAATTCAACATTTATTTAGTTTTTAAGACCTAAGTTTCACTCTAAAACCTGAGTTTTAGATGTCCTATGATGCCAGGGCATCACAGCTCTCAGCAACCTCAAACCCTTGGGCTCAAGTGATCCTCTTGCCTCAGCCTCCCAAATTAGCTAGGACAACAGGTGCCTGCCATAACTCCCAGCTAGTTTTCCTAATTTTAGTAGAGATGGGTCTCACTCTTGCTCAGTCTGATCTTGAACTCCTGAGCTCAAACAATCCACCTGCCTCATCTTCACAGAGTGCTAGGATTACAAGTATGAGCCACTACACTTGGCTACTAACCTCTATTTTTCACACGTGCACTGTACTGTGGACATATTTCCATGGTGATAAACACAAATCTACATTATTATATTTAATGAGTTCATATTATATTTAATAAGTCTATATTATATGAAAGGACTTATATTTAATATATTCAACATTGTTATTCAAATATTTATTATCAAATATTTATTTAAAATATTCAGCATATTTCCGTGATGATAAACACAAATCTATGTTATTATATTTAATGAGTTCTCATTATATTTAATGAGTCTATATTATATGAAAGGACTTATATTTAATATATTCAACATTTCTACTTATATTGGTCATTTTAGTTTCCTCTGATTGTTCAGATTAAGTTAAATTTTTCAATGAACACGCTTTGCATGAATCTTTGCAAATGCGCCTGTTATTATGAGTTTAGAAGGAGAATTTCTGTGTCAAATGTCAACTATTTAAAGATCTTTTCCGTTATGTATATATCCAAATTACATTCTGGGAAGGTTAAATGAGCCCTTGCCTATTCAATAAGTAAAGTCAGAACATAGAATCAAGAGAACAATCTTTGGTGACCAAAGTAGGGGATATTATTACATATTAAACAATCTGTTTAAACATTTCTACAAACATTTGTTTAAACATCAGTGCCCCCCAGAAGGACACTGATGAAACTGAGAAAGAGAGGGACTCCAAAGTGGGGGTGGCCTTGCAGTTGTGGGCAGAGGAAACATAGCAGGTGCATAGAAACGTTGTCCTTGGGACTTCAGTGCCCTGGAAACCTGATACCTCAGCAGATGGAGTGGAAAGACACCAAAGATCTAGAACCAATGGAATGATGAACATTTCAGTGACCAAAGACCACCCATCAGCCTGTGCTACCAAACTCTTGCCTTGAAATATTTATATGGCAGACTGAGGAGAAAGAGGCAAACTTTGACTTTATGGAGTTTACATGAAATTATTAAATTTTCTTCCATTAGTTTGGGAAAAATAAAGAAATGGGTTTTTTAATGTTGGAATTTAGGATCAATGATATTCGTATACACTAGCTAAAAAAATAAAGGGAATCATTCTACTTTCCTATGCCCATGGGAGCATCACTAAGCAAGAACATGTTGATGCAGGCAGCTGCTCTAGATGGAATGAGTTAGAGTTGGCATGTCAAGTAAGACTATTCTGTGTCCACCAGTTAGAGATATAGAGTGACTTTCATTCAGGTCACAGTACAAAAAAACATCCAGGACTTTAATGAGTACTGAATGGGAACATCTACCAAAATATTGGCTTTCTGGTACATTACTCATTTAGTATGCAAGAACACTGAGATCAAGTTGTTTGACTTTTACTATTATACGGTGACTTTTTGGGTTACAGAAGTTTGACTGCAGACTCTGCCCCTTAACAGCTGCCCACCCTACCTCAGTCAGAGCTACCAGGGCCTTGGGGTTACACTAAGCGCCTATGAGTTAGTCCAAATGCCACTCCTACCAGATTATCCATCAATATGATCAGTGTAATAACTATGCTAAATATATTACACTTATGTTGCCTTGCGTGTAATATAATTTATTAGCAGAGGGAAATGTAAGCTGACGGGGGGTCTATACATGGGGTCATGTGGGGGAAGGTGCTGTTATATGTGATACTGATTTTTATTCCTGAATTGCAATGACTCATTGCTATTATTTCTAAATACAGTTGTTTTGTACTTTGTATATTGATTTTGAATCCTGTGACCTTGCTGAACTTATTATATATAGATTTTTTTTTTTATCTTTGTAGCTTCCTTAGGTTTTTTTTTTACATTAGACCTTCATGGGCCTCTGGTGTTAAATATATAAATTTCAGCATGTTTTTATGCCTTTTCGGTGAAGTGACATCTTTATCATAACACAAAGGCACTCTATCCTGGTAACCTTCTAGTCTTTTTGCTACATATACTATTGTGGAAAAAAATCTTCCATGTACAAGATCATGGATCCATTTCTAAGACAGAATTTCTGTCTCACCCACAATAATACCTAATCCTTTGGGGTTTGATAAAATAATAATTGATTTGTTAATAATGCCACAGCAGAATCATGGGGTTAATCATTTATCAGGCACATAATTATTTAGAAATAAGAAATTAAATATCAATATATTTCAGTCAATGTTACAACTTTGGGAAAACTTCTAGCATTATAGAATCCAATACTCAAAAGAGTACAAAGAAATATTTCTGCGTCATCACACAGCAAAGAACATACTGGATTTTTGAGTCATGACACAGCAAAAAACATAGAATTGGCACTTACTATTGATGTTATCTTGGTCAGGGTATATAACTGAGCCTCCATTTCCTTACCAGTTACACGGATAATACAGCTGCCTTGCATCAAGGTGACATTACTAAAGGAGATGCTTCATAAGTGAGTGCCTAGCATACTCACTTTATTTTTTGAAAAAAAAATAATTTTTACTAATAAGAAATTGTGAAATCTCATAGTTTATTCTGTGAAAAAATAAACGTTCAGTGAATGCTTGTTTTTTTTCCCAGTTCCCTCATAGGCAGTTGCCAGTACTTTTTTCTCTGTGAATGCTCCTTCCTCACCTTTAAGGACTCGGGGAGACTGTTCCTCAAGGATTTCTCTAGCAGTTGCAGCATCTTTGGCTTCTGCAAACAGAACATCTCGGCAGGTAGCTTAGCCTACAGAGAGAATCAAGAAACACAAGTAAGGAGAAGAACTGGAAGATATACAGATGCAAGAGTCAGTTCTTGCTGGTGGCCTGGGCTCCATCACCACTGTTCCATGGGTTTCACTTTATTAAACTTCTCACTAATACCAAGAAAGAATAGATTGACTCTTTTTAGAGTCAATCTCTTAGACTGGTGGAAGCACAGATGGCTCTTTCTGAAGTTATTTTTAATACCATTTTTTCAACTTTTAAAAATTTTCTGGATTTTTTGGTTTTCATTTTTATACCACTCAGAATTCCAATAATTAAGAATTCACTTAAATTAACAAATCTATTGACTAAGCATGAGTAAGCAACTTTTGTGATTAGATTTCCATCCATGACAAACCTGACTCTGTCACTTAGAAGCTGTGTGACATTGAGCTGGTTATTTCCTCAGTGACTTTGTTTCCTGGCTATGAGTATGGTACCTGTCCCATAGGACACCTGAGAATATTAAATCAATCAATACATGTAAAGTGCTTGGAAGAGTGTCTGGGACATAGCATTCAACTGAGAATTATGACTATTATCACTCTTTTGTCATTAGCTGAAGCAACAGTCAAGTCATACTGCCATCTGAAAAAGTTCACTGAGTGATTTTTCTTATACACAACTATTTGGTATAGATTTGAAGCAAAGTGAAGTGAAAGGGATTAAATAGGAGTATCCCATGTAATATGGCAGATGGTAAGTTAGCTAAGTTTCAAGTCTTTAGTTGAGTGCCTAGCTTGAGTAGTACTTTAAATGTCAATCACTTAAGTTACTGCTAGCGTAATTATGTAAATAAAGCACATCTATTTCTACTAGTTCCCCTTTTAAAAGTATGTAGTGCAATATTTCTGAACTTTATTATATGTTAGAACAATCTGAGAATTAAAGTAAAAACATATATATGTGTATGTGTTTATGTGTGTCTGTATTTACATTCCTTAACCCTGCTCATAATTTTTTATTTAGAAGATCTTTAAAAAGTATGAAGTCTACAAATCTATATTTTAAAAAGCTCTCTGGATTCTTTGTGTTATTACTATTTTCTTGAGTCATATTTTATATCTAGTCAAATTCTTCAGTTTTAAGTAGATAATTTTATGAGTTTGATAAATTATATATTAAATATCTATTTGACAGATATATATTTCTGCAACTGACATCATAATTATGCTTAAAGGCCATTTTCAATCCTCCTGAAAAGTTCCTTTGTGTCCTTCTGTAATCAATCCCCTCTCTTGACACCCAGCCCTAAGCAATCACTAATACACTAATTTTTTCTCAATATTTCACATTATTTCTCATCCTATAGTTGTCCTTTGACACAATGTCAAATAAATGAAATTATTTTTTTTTTTTTTTTAGACAGAGCCTCAAGCTGTCCCCCTGGGCAGAGTGCCGTGGCATTACAGCTCACAGCAACCTCCAACTCCTGGGCTCAAGCGAGTCTCCTGCCTCCGCCTCCCAAGTAGCTGGGACCACAGGCGCCCGCCACAACGCCCGGCTATTTTTTGGTTGCAGCCGTCATTGTTGTTTGGCGGGTCCGGGCTGGGGATTCGAACCCGCCACCTTAGGTGTACGTGGCTGGCGCCTTAGCCGGTTGAGCTATAGGCGCCGAGCCGATAAATGAAATTATTTAGTGTGTAACTATTGGGGACTAGATTCTTTCTTTCAGCAAATCCAAGTAGTGGTGTTTTTCAATGATTCATTCCTTTTTATTTCTGAGTAGTATTCATTGCATGGATGTATCAGAGTTTGTTTATCCATTAATCTATTGAAGTGTTTCTAATTTTTCATCATTATGAATATAGTTCCTATAAACATTCATGAACAATTCTTTGTGTGTATAGATATTTTTATTTCTCTTGGAGTGCATTTCTAAGGTGATATGGTAAACGTATGTTTGACATGCTCAGGAATCATTGATACAACAGGAAAAATCCTTAACAATATCCTTCTAATCACTGTGAAAGGAAGAGTCATAGGGCTAATTCTCAAGGCAGACCAAAAGATTATGGCCAAAGAGTTTTCAGTAGATGCACTTTTTTGAGGAATTGACAGTGTTGACCTTCACCCAAGGCCTACAATTCTGATTAGCAACAATGTTTGGTTAAAAAAGATCCCTTCACCCACGCTGTGTGTTCTGGAAATGGCTTACTGCAAGGACCCATATTTCCCCATCTGACTTAGACTAGACTTACAGATGTCCTCCTTGTTTATCGATGAAAAGGCCAAACTCAGACCCTACAAAGTCCTCATCTTTGCCTCATAAATGATTAACTGAACTGCTCATCTCCACTGATAAATGACAAGAAAATACTTGTTAGCCAAGCTTTAGCCAATTTTCTCTCTTTCCCTCATGCCGAATAAGCATACAACCCCTCCTTAATAGCCTCCACCAAGAACAGGCCGAATTCAGGTAAAATATTTATCCTAATTCTCCAAACTAGATTCTCCCTGTGCCTGTTCATTTCTCCCTTTTAAATGATTAACTAAACTGTTCATCCTGATCCATCAGAACAAAGTACTTATTACACAACTTGACCAAACTTTAGTTAAGATTCCTTCCTCCCCAAAGGCCTCTGACTTTTGACTCTCCCTACTGCAAAAAAAAAAAAAAAAAAGCCTTGCATAAACCATGTTTATTCTTCCCTATTAGAAAAAAAAAAAAAAGACCTTTTCTTCCTGACCTTTTAATTGTTTGTGGATCTCATGATCTGATGTTTGCCCTATTGCAATACTTCTTCCCTTAAATAAATTTTTCTCTTTACCTAAGTTTGGAGTTGTTTTTTTATGTATAAATCTTTGGTATGGCTTCATTATCAGTTAAATTGATTTTTTTTTTTTTTTTTTGCAGTTTTTGGCTGGGGCTGGGTTTGAACCCACCACCTCTGCAGTAGAGGGCCAGTGCCCGACTCCTTTGAGCCACAGGCACCGCCAGTTAAATTGATTTTTGTGACTAGCCTGGCAACCTGAGTATCAACCTACTCATTTATTTGGCCATTTCATTCATTCAATAAATAAATCTTTTTATTTCCCTTTTTCATTTCAGATTAATATGAGGGTACTTGAATGTTTACAGCAGCTCAATTCACAATTGCCAAGATATGGAAACAACCCAAGTGCCCTTCAACACATCAATGGATCATGAAATAAATCTCGATCGGAACTTACTGTAGTGGCTTTGTAAGGTGTCACTTTGCCTAGGCAGAGCATTTCCACTCTCCTTCTCTGCACATTTCCAATTAGGATGAGCCACAAGAGAGATCTTTATAAAAGATTTGGAAGGCAGAATTGAAGCAGTAGCCATGTTTTTGAACTCATTTTTTGGCACAAAAGGGAGTGTCTGGGTTGGACAGTGCTCTATTGTCCCTAGGATCCATTGTCAACTTCTTTGTCATCTGGGCCAAGTGTGTGCGTTCAGCTCCTTAAGAGGAAGAACCTGGGAGGACCCCCATATTACCAAGGCCAGAGTCAACAAGAACTGATAAAATTGCAATCTGCCTTGTTAGCTGCAGCTTGCTCTGTGGGTTTCAGCTTATTCTTTCTCCTTTCCACTTAAAATTTATTTTCCCACTCAATGTGCTTTAATCCTTAGTACCCCATGGAAAGTATTGTTCTTACAGAACCTGCTTAACTGTCTAGCACACACAATTTCATCAGATTGAATCCCTAGGACAGATCTTTTACGTTGGCTTCTGTCTTTGAAACTCAACTGATAAACTTAACTAGGTTAACTTTCCCAGCAACTGTGAGCTTTGAATAAACTATAATGGCCATAATTTCTATTATTTAAGAACCTATAATCTAGTAAGGAAAATAAAGCATATTCATAACTAAAAAATATCACTTAGAAGTAACTAAATTATTTTCTATACATGCAAAACATTGCTGTCAATTTCATGGTATTTTGATGTGGAACATTTTCATATGGCCTGACATATGCCATTATTCTTTTCATTTTTTTAACAAGTGATAGTTTAGACTTATTTACTTGTCCTATCCTCAATCATCACCTCTTCTTGAACCTTGCCCCATTCCTAAATCTAACAGTCTAATGTGTATACAGTATATTACTAATGTACTCTGTAATATCAATTTATAAATATAAATGTAATAGTAATGTAAAGTTGTATTTTTACATTTAGACTTACTGTATCCAATAAAAATTATCTAAAGGATTGGATCATAACATGCTAACTGAAAATGGTTGACAACATGCTGTAGCAAATGACCACACAAGTGTCCTAAGAGGGAGATCTTACTTCTAAGTTGAGCCTTACAAGGTTCTTAAAGGAAGTTTTCCTCTAACTGGCCATTGAAGAGAGGATAGTGTCAGAGGAGAGGTTAGTTGCTATGCTCCTGGAAAATACCTGCTAACTCTTTGTGTTAGGAACAATGAAGAAAGTTCTTGTTAGATTCAAACGGAGATTACACCCAACTTCAGAATTTGGAAAATCCTGTCTATGTCAAGAGGAAGTTATTGTTATCCAAGTTGATTTACGTCCTGCTACACCCTACTTTCCTGATTATTTCTTGAAATGATCTCTGATCCATTTCTGATACCCATGTACTCAGTTTATTAACACTAGGGGACTTAGTCTGGCTAGCTGCTTTTCTGCTAACTTTCATATGTTGAAATTTTAACCCCTAAGATGATGCTACAAGAGGTAAGTCGTATTGGGATTTGTTCATGAGGGCACCCCTTCCACCACATAAGGACATGACAAGAAAGTACCATCTAGGCAGGAAACGAGCCCTGAGTAGACATCAAATCTGCTAGCACCTTGGTCTTGGACTTGCCTGCTTCCAGAAGTCAGAAATACTTTTCTGTTGCTCAGATGGTATTGTCTTATAGCAGCTCAACTAGACTAAGGCAAAGTTCCTACTGGAGGCCAACTATATGCTGAGCATAAGAATTTGTATCAGATGCTGCTCTGAAAAAAGCCCTAGAGAAGAATAGAAGCACCTGTGCCAAGCCTCAGAAAATGTGAAGACTTACAAGTATAACATTTCTGAAAGCTAATCTGACATTTTAGCTAGAGTCATTTTGGATGAAGACTGCATGAAAATAAGTTGTAAAGAGTTTAATGACAGATTATTGGGGATATATTAACATATTGCAGAGGACATCAGGTACAACTTTCTGTACATATAGTCAAATTCCTAGAAAACACGAATATGATGTTCAAAGGGGTCCAGCATACTTTGATGGGTTTCCAGCATTGACAATGAATGGGCAAAGACTTATAAAAGGCATTTTGAAACCTATGACACAATGATTCCAGTAATTGAAATTTATCCAAAGAAAACAATTTATCCAAAAAATAAATATGGTCCATAATAATTTTATAAAGCATTATTAACTTATAGGTGAATACTAGACACAATCTCAGTGTCTCTCTATAAGATAATTTATAGAAATAATGACCTATCATTATTTTACTACTCTTAAATCCATTAACATGAATGCTGTAATATATATGTTGACATATAGGAGAGTATGACAATGAATATGAAATAGACAGGAAAAGTGCATAAATTTTAATTAAATATATAATCTTTTGTGTATAATTTATATATGTTACACATATAACGAGAAAATTTAGAAGGAAATATGCAATAATATTATGGAAACCTGATAGATGAGACTGAAAATTACATTTATCTGTTACAGTTTTATTTTTATTTATTTATTTTTTGTATAGACAGAGTCTCACTTTATTGGCCTTGGTAGACTGCCTTGGTGTCACAGAGCTCACAGCAACCTCCAACTCCTGGGCACAGGCGATTCTCTTGCCTTAGCCTCCCAAGCAGTTGGGACTACAGGCACCCACCACAACACCCAGCTATTTTTTTGTGCAGTTTGGCTGGGGCCAGGTTTGAATTGTTCCCCTCAATATATGGGGCCGGCACCCTACCTACTGAGGTACAGGTGCCCCTCTATCTGTTACAGTTTTAAATTAACAATGCATCCCCTCTGTATTCTAGCCTTTGTACTAAAATATACTTGCTCCCTTTGTGACTTATGCAGGGAATTTAATTTCCCTAGATATCAGTTATCAAAGAAAAAAACTGTCCACCTTTGAATGTTATCAGAAGATTGTATGCAAAAATGTTTCCATATACTATGTATACACATTGGGTTCAATAAATGTCACTTGACCTAGCACACTCCTTTCTGGGGGCTATTACATTTTTGTCATCCATTAAGAAATGGCAAGCTTCCAACCCTCTTCTTATTTAACAATTCAAAATGAAACCTGGCATTGTCAAGAATGTTTCACAAATTTGAATAGAAAAAATAAAATGTCACAATTTGAAAAAAAAAATGTCTCACAAATCTAGAACATTTCTCTACGCACAATAGATGCCTGATAATAAGTCTTTCAAGCAGAAGAACTTCCTTTTCCCCTAGTATAATTCTCAGCTTGAATAAGCTTAGAAATTCTTATCTACATCTAACGGAGATTTTTGATTCATTCTACTCTGCTGGGGAAGTATAACAATTCTGTTTTGTTCTCACCTGAGAGGCAGTCTTCTCATTCAGTCTCTGCACAGGTCCAAAGACAAGAAAAGAGGCTGCAGATTATTCTGGAAGATAAAATATTCTCTTTGAGTATGACGATCTTAAAGGATCTGCTCTGAGACTGGTGAGCTCACATTTTTCACAGAACACGTGTACTAAGCTGTGCCAACATTGGGATACTGAGTATGAGATCAAGCCCCTCCCTCCACGTGCTATTTTCAGAGATGTGACTCTGTAACATTTCCAGGTTGGCAATGTCCATTCTGAAGCTCTCAGTCCAAAAGTTGGAACTGCTCTGGACTCCCAAAGCAGTTAGTCAGCAGCTCTTAACCTGTAAAATCAAGCTGGGCAACAGTTGGGACCTGGGTGAGTCTCTACAGGCAATACCCCTTTTCTTCCCTCTGCTTCAGAAAAATCTGTGCAGATCAAGAGCCTAGTACTGCGTAGATTTGATGTCTAAAATTTATATTGGTAGAGAAATGTATCTATCTAGAGAGACTAAAGGGTTTTAGATTTTTCCATTTTATTTTATTTTATTAATATTCTAAGAATTCTTTATCTTTAATAGATTTACAGTGGACAAGAGCTTTTTCTTACATGGGTGAATTGTATAATGCTGAAGTCAATGCTTTCAGCGTATCCATCACCAGGATTGCTAGATTCATATTCCTTACAGTCTTCCCATCTTCCTCATGTTTAATTTTTGTTTTCTTTTTTTTGTCATTTTTTATTAATTATTTTTTATGAAATTATAACTTTGTACATTGATGCATTTATGGGATTCAGGGTACTACTTCAATATACCATGTGAAATGTTTACATTGAACTAAGTAACACGTCCATCACAATTATACTCATTTCTCAATAGTTTTGAAATGTACCATTGCATCATGTACATTAGGTGAGGTCCCCCCAAATGCCCTCTCTCCTCCTATATCTACCCTCCCCTCCCCTTCTTCCATGACCTGGCAATTATGAATTGGGCTACAATAAACATTCTGATACAAATGTCTTTGTTGTAATGCGATTTTTGGTCATCTGGGAATATACCCAACAAAGGAATTGCAGGGTCAAATGGCAGGTCTATTTTTAGTTCTCTAAGTG